TCCTCAGACATTCAGGTTTCCTCACGATGTTTTCCTTCACTGAAGGGCAAGTGGTAAATCAGCACTTAAAATTGCAATTAACAATTATCATTGGTGCCGGCGGGGAGTGAACCCGGGTTATTCGCGTTCTGTTATATTTACAGCGAGCGTTAACCATCTGAGCTACCACGGTTTTAATCCGGCTACATAAAAAAAGGAAACGTAGAAAAATGTTGGTTAATTGTGGCTACTAAAACGACACCAGTATTCGCATATAAGTATTTTAAAGGATTAAGATGTACTCTACGGCGTGGCAGCGGTTTTTTTGAATGTAGGTGGGAACACGAGGAGCGAGGCGCAGACAACACCACGCGCGGGTGGTACATACACTGAGACAAAAATCGAATCGTCATTCGCAAAGATCCGTACACAGTCGAATTATCGTTACGATATTCAAGATTGCATGGGTTTTGTTGCAATCTCCGATGCCTTCTGCAATCAAGTACCTATCTCGCTAACGATCGTAACATAGATTACTGATCCGTCGTTTCAATTAGTCTGAACCGACGGATCGAACCGTGTACGGTGACGGACGATTCGCAAAAATTGCCACGATTGGGGGGAATACCAACATAGAAGAGCGAGCAAACGAGCATGATGGTAAATGACAGTCGTCACCCGCACGCGGTGGTGAATTGCAATCACGGTGAAGATGGGATTTAGAGCTCTGACTCAGCGTGATCATTATTACAGCCTATCAGAAGTCCACTGCTGAACATGAACCTACCCAGTAGACTGCCTAATTAAGGGGATATTTGGCACACTTATTAGTTACCATTCTTGCTAGGTGGACTGTAAACTGCATTTTTTATTATTTTGATTTAAGTATTGTTAGGAAGATGCCGCTGCTTATTCCGTTTAATTTCCCTCTGTCACCTCTTATGACATCCATGGGATGATATGGGACAGTGAATTCTCTTGCCCTACTTCTACACGGTTACATTTATGCAATTACCTTAAATTATTTAATATATGTATGAGGTTCCGGATGTTTTCGGTATGCTTTATACATGGTGGATTTTCTCCCAACTTGTCAGGGTTCCACACGATTAAGTAGTCAACAATACTTTATAATTTGTTTTTTTTTTCTATATTGTTTTTGCTTTATAGCCTTTTTTATGAAAACGCTGATGTATGTAGCTTACACCAAACACATTTTAAGTTACCGGTTGAGGGAAACAAGCCACAACTTCCTATTGTATTGATAGTGTACGTGGTTTGGAGTACTACCGGATCAACTTGACTTTATTAACATTTCTAGTACAAGATTAGTTACCTACATACCACACTGCGTACTTTCACTATTATTTTTAATTGGTACCTTTAGGTAACAAGTTAAACTATAAAAGTAATAAATTGATTTTAAGAAACTAAAAAGATGTGCAAACAGACATTAATAATTGTCCTATGAATCCCATCATCAGATCTTAAACAAATTGATTTTTGACTACTCCAAGAAAAAATAATCCTTTGATTATATAGACAGGTATGTAATCAAAGAAATAATCATTGAAATCCGATAATGTAGGTAGGTAGTATAATTTTATTGTTGAAAATAATCTATTCTGTACATATACTTAATAAAAATGTAAATTGTAAATGTCTGTAAATTTTATATTTTCGCAACAAAATTGATTGAGAGGGTCTAAAAATAAGTAACTGAATACATTTCTATCATTTTTAGAATTGTCTGTCTGTCTGTTTGTTTGTTAACGTATCATATATAAAGTACTGATTTATATCAAAATAATCGTTAAGAAAATTGTGAAGCATATCTTCGTTTTAAATTTAGTCTTTGTTTTATTAAAATCGGTTCATCCTATCAAAAGTTATGTTTAATATTATGAAGTATGGGTTCGAAATATAAATAGGTAGGTACGAATTTGTTCAATAGCGGCGTTGAGTGATCAAGGACATTTTTGTAACTAATGTAAAATAGTGTTCTATAAGGATATAATTGTACCTAAATGCAGTAAACAAAAATAATAAAGAATAACGTAATAAATATTTATAAAAAAATATATAAATCTTAATATCTTAGTTACAATAGTTAACCAATGTCATCGATAGATGGTGTTGTGCAAATTATTAAATTTTAAAATGTGCTTATAATTTTTTATTCTTAACCGCCGAGTACCTAAAACATGGTAAATCAAAGTTTGAAAGAGCTATTAACAATTTTTTTTTGGTCTCGGCAAGGATCTTATCAATCATATAGAAGCTTGGCAGTAAACATAATATTATAGGTATTTCGCTTTTGCACTTCCAAAAGTTTTAAGATTTACATTGTCGTGAAATTGAAAAATTACGTTACCCGATTTTGAGCTTTTTATATTATTCCTACCCGTTCTTTTCTAAATATCATATAATTTTTATTTTTCTGTAATAATAAATTAACTACTATATATACTATATATTTATATAGACGGCGCTATGAGTATTTTCAGGTAGCATAAGGTTTCATTTTATGTAAAAACTAAAAACAGTAAATAATTACTTTGCTTGCTGCTTTCGACGCAATGTTTGTATTGGACCAGCAAAAATTTTTCTTCCTTTTATCCAATAACCGTTACAGCATTTTAAAGTCCACTGCTGAACATAGACCTCCTCATTGACTGCCTCATATTTGGCTCAATGTTTGGCATAGTTTCCAGGATCTACCACGCACGCTTTATCCGTTAGTTTTGCCATTTACCGACAGATGTCACTGTTCACTGTGTATCTACTATAATATACTCTTTATATACTGAGTCATAGATACTAAACTACACTGAGTGACTACTTAAACCGCTTGAAGTAGAAATCTAAAATTTGGACTGTCGGTTCCTACCTCTTATGACGTGAAATTCCGCTATGAAATCATTTTCTAAAATTCGATACCTGAGAGTGTGAAATTAGGGTGTTATAGTTTATTATTGTATTACAAAAATATTTTACAGGGCGATTGACTAGATAAGTACTTACTGAGAGTACTGTACTTAAAAATTAATACGTATTTTGCGATTTCAAAATAACCCGTTACGGTAGAGGGCGCAGGGGCAGAGGGTATGTAATTTTGTATGGAAATAAAATATTTTGGTATTTCTTAAAACAACCTCTTACCGGAGGAGGGAGAAGGGGTTAGATAATGTTCAATTTGAAGGGAGAAATAATATATAATGCTTGAAAGTAATAAAATAATAAAATTTGCCTTTTACGGTTTTAAAAAAGGGTTCAAATTTTGTATGAAAAATGTTGTATAAAATCTACAGCTCAAACCGCTGGATGTCGATGCGTGAAATTGGAACAATAACTTGTTTTTATTAAGTAGGCGTCTACTAAGAAAGAAGTTAAAATCCTCGGATAGTAAAATAAGGTTTTAAGAATGTTTTTAACGAAGTGATTTCATATTGGTATAGGGAAAATGATAAAATGATTATTGTAACTTAAAAATTAGTACGAATACTTTTGGCTTTAAATAATGCAATTAGTTTTCGTTTTCATTTTCTTAGTACATCATCTAAAGTGTTAAAATCAGGATACATTGCGCGGAAAAAATGGTTTTCAATTGCATGGTGGCGGGGAAATCCGTAAAACAAAATTATGAATATTACTTATTATCTAGAACCTTACAAAAATCTGCCCCTATTGATCATTATATACAAAATATAAAAAATTGTCTATTTGTCATTGTGTCCGAGTAAGTAAGTCTGACAAAAATATAGTGAGATCAGATACACATAAAACGGCATTACGTGCTTTCTGAGGCATAGGGAAGAAACGCTGCTAAACCTTGACTCCGGGCTGCTACTGAAAATTTCTAGATAGAAAACCCAACTGCTTTTAAGCCCGAATACACCTATTACTTTAAGTTCTAAAAACTTTTCTAGGTTGAGTTTAGTTTTAAATTTTATTTGTTAGCAGGATGATACAAAATATAGATACTTACGCAATTTCATTATTTTGTTAGTGTAGGTACTTAGTTTTAGGTAGGCATTGGATTGTAGTTTTAATTTCAAATTTTTATTCAATTATCAATAATTAGTGATGGTGCTTGCTTATTTAGGCCAATGAGCAAATTAGGGATTACGTTATTGCGTTCATTTTGTTGTTTATTAACAAAATACAAAATAAAACACAAGCGTACAGTTTTCCCTATTTGTTTCTCGATTTGTTTGTGGGTTCCGTTTATTTGTGTTATTGTCTGATTGACCGACTAACTGAATGTTTTTATTCAGATTAGTGTCTTTCTAAGTCTTCACGACGGATTAATTTACAAATAAATCATCATCACATAGAACAGCAAAAGTACTGATTCCACGCGAACGAAATCGCGGGCACAGCTAGTGATTAAATATGTGTTTAACACGCGGTGTTTTTCCCGACACGCTTAATGGTGCTCCCACATTGCCGTAATGGTGCTCCCACATTGCCGTTAGAAAATGTTTAGTAACGTTAAGTTAACAAATTATAACAAAATAAAACATGTATTACCTTTTGTTTGTAAACCTTTTATAAAGGTGACGGCTGGGTATGCGGTGAGTCGAGGATGCGGCGGCGGGGGGGGTTAGAGTATGCCGGTCGCTGCGCGCTATGTCTGGTGTCTTGTCAGTCCCTTTGTCGTTCCAGTGGTTGCGCGTGCGCCAAGCAATAAAATATGTCAGGTTATAATTGGAATAACGAAGATGTTTACAAATTGATTGAAATGTTTCAAGCAAGAGAAGTACTGTGGAACACGATATCAGAGGACTACAAAAACCGAAATAAGAAACACGATGCTTAAATGGAAATTGCCAGTGAATTTAATTTAAATAAAAAAGTAATTGAAAAAAACGGGTGGCATGAGCAAAGCTATTGCATAGCATTACAATTATGCAAAAAAAACAGTTAAGCTGATAAATTCACTCGTGGTGACCGATAAGAAAACAATTATAAACGAGAAGTTAATATTGTAAAATATTCTAAGTCTGGTGCAGGAGCTGATGAATCAAGTAAATGGTTTGCATTTAAAAAAACTCATGTTCCTTAAGGGTAAAAATATCCCAAATTCAACTGTCGATGGAGGGTTGCAGGTGAGTTTTATTTTAACGTCTTTTAATAGTATTTAGGTGCCAGTCCACCCTTCGTTTGAAAAATATTCAGCGAATTCTTTTCTTATTTCTCTCCCATCATCTGCATGGGATTCACATGCTTCAAGAGGTGTTAATTGCTGCTGTTCTAATCTCCATTGTCCATCAATACGCGTACCAGTTATTACGTCTTCGCTATCATAGTATTGGGATGGAGCGTAAATCATGCTCGATCCTGTTTTCTTAGAAAATTATGCAGTAGCACGCATGTCATAATTAAAGTAGTAGTTTTTTCTGGATCTAATAATATTGTAGTTCGTAAAACTCTAAATCTGGCCGACAAAATACCAAATGCGTTCTCTACTGTTCTCCTCGCACGACTCAGTCTGTAACTGAAGATTCTTTCCTTAGAATTGCTATCCTGTGGTCCTGGAAAAGGTTTTAACAAGTGTTCTAACGAGAACGCATCATCTGTTACGAACACATAAGGAACAGGTTTGTTTCTGCCTGGTAGTGAGCTGTCATTGGGCATTTTTAAACTATTGTCGTAAATTTTATTTCGAAATTTTGTGTTTGCGAAAACTCCACCATCACTTATGCGTCCTTGGCAGCCAATATTCACATATAAAAAGTTATATTCTGCGTCCACTAGCGCTAAAAGTACAACGCTGTAAAATCCTTTATAATTGTATAAACTCTCAACATCACATTAACATATTTTGTACAATGCATCAATAGGACAATATTCACTGCCGCTATTAATTGGATTTTGTATGGCTACGTGCTTTCCATCGATACTTCTTAAGCAATTTGGGAAATTCCCTTTTTTAAATGTATTTGTCACGTATAGCCATTCTTGAGGTGTTGTTGATATCTGGAACAAAAACCGAAGATTAAGTAACTTGAAGTTATCGTTTACTTCTATTCTTTCAGAGTAACGAAGAAAACGGGGTAACGAAAAACAGAAGTGATTCAGAAAACACTCTCAGTTTAATCGAAATTGAAAATACTGTCACTGTAAACGAAACTACGGGCACGCTTTTCGCCACTCCAAAACCATTTCGCAAAAGAAGACTGCCAGTTGAAAAAGATTCAACACGACAAGAAGCTGTAAAGATTTTACAAAACATGTACGAAACTAGAAAGAGCAGGGATGAAAGTGACGCATTTGTAGAGTATGTCTCTATGAAACTGAAACAAATAAAAAACAGTTATGCTAGGAATATTGCTCAACATCACATTAACAATATTTTGTACAATGCATCAATAGGAACTACATTCTACAAACCCAACTGCTAGTAGCTCCTCGGGATACAACTCTGAACCAAATCTATCCACTTTTTTGGAAAATAATGCTGTCTGTAGCTGCAGGTCTTCGGATAGCTCCAGGGCACATACTGCACATCCTCCTACCAGTGCAAGAACACCGAGTCCGTCAAATTTATCGGAATCAAGCCAAGATTCGACCCAATCATTAAACGGTTTGTTGGGATCAATCCAAGATTAAAAAATACGTGTTGGATTTGTTGATTAAACAATTTCATCAGCAAGGTGAATATCAGTAAAGTATGATTTGTCTCAATTGTGTGCAAAAAAATAAGCTCGTATTGCATTTTTGTTAATATATGTTTGTAAAGACACAACTTATTTTTGTTAATGTGTGTTTTTTTTCAACGTCGTAGTTACCCACCCTCGCACCACAACTGTCAGAAAGTTTTGTTAGATCATATTAAAAGTAATCAAAAATAAAAATGTTGTTTGACTTACCTGTATGTATTCTTGTAAAACCTCATCGAGAGCCTCGCACAATTCTGGTACGATTATAGATATCACTTGGTCTGACAACTTGAACACATTTCCAAGACTTTTATAACTGCTACCAGTTGCCAAAAATCTTAACGTTACCGCAAGTCTTTCCGTCACACTTACAGATTTTTTATAATTAGTGTCTCGTTTTCCTATTTTTGCCCCAACAAAATTTTGTAGATATTCAAATTCGGAACTGTTCATTCTTATAAAATCTTTTAGGCAACCATCAATGCCCAAATCCTTGAGATAGTCTGTGGCACTATATTTTTCTCTAGCTTTTAGCGTTTCGCGCATCCAATAAGAGCGCTTTTTCTTCTTTTTTAAACAAAAAATGAAAGCCAATCCAATGAGCAAATCCTCTTCCATTTTCGTGTAGACGCTCTCAGAACGCAAACAAACTACGAGCCAGTACCAGATTTTAAATGTTATAAAATTTTAGTAAACATTAGTAAACATTTTCTATTAGTGTAGGAACACTTATAACATGTAACAGTTCCTAACAAAATGTAACAATTGACAACATTTGTGAGTAAACGTTTTTATGCTAGAAAATGTTTACAAACATTTTCTAACGGCAATGTGGGAGCACCTTAAGGTTGCTAAGGTCAGTCCTGTCTTTAAATCCGGAAGTAGGCCCGACCCAAGTAACTACAGACCAGTGTCTGTTTTGCCTTTGGTATCATAAATATTTAAACGAGTCCTGTGTAACCGCCTAAACGAATACTTAATAAAAAAGAAGTTTTTAATTGACCAACAATATGGCTTTGGTTCCAAATCGAGCACTCTTACAGCTGCAGCAGACTTAATCACAAAAATTAAAACTCGTATCGATCAAAGGAATTTTGCTTTGGCAATTTTTATTGATATTAAAACAGCATTTCACACAGTTAGTTAACATATGCTGTCGCAGAAATTAAACAACTTAGGCGTTATACAGGCATGGCCTTCGGAATGTTCACATTATATTTACAAAATAGGCGGCAAGCTATTCAAATGGATAATTTTACTAGTTCGAAACGTATCGTACGGCTGTCCTCAATGCTCAATTATAAGTTCATTACTTTTTTGATTTATATAAATATTATAAACAAAATAGGGCTGACTGGATACCTAACGCACGCTTTGTACGCAGATGACAGTCTATTCATAACATTATAACTTATGCTCAAAAAGATCTCTATTGGTAGTTGGTATACTCAGTTGGAGAATGTATATTTATCATGTCGATTTAAAAAAAAGTCATTACCAAACGGCATTAAGTAAAGTCGCAAATTGTATTCCGAAAAAGATACGTACAATTATATACAACAAATTAGTTAAGTCACATATCGAATATCTTATTGAGATATTGGGACCAGCTGCTAAAACTTCTTCAAAGGACCCAGAATAAAATTATCAAAACATTATTCCACTATCATTAAGTATCTAACTCCGACAAAAGTACGAAAAAACTAACATACTAAATCTTACACAACTATACACTTATTGCACTTGCACTCTAATAAAAAAATATTACCACTAATTCTATTCGATCAAACATATAATTAAATAAAAAAACAACAGCACACAACTTAAGAAGTATGTAGAAATAAACTACAACTAATAACTGCCGGTACTAATTATGACAATAAAACGATTTTGTTTGAGGAGCACAGCTGTTCAATAAATTACCAGATGACCTAAAAAACTGCAATAACATGAAATTGTTTTAAAGTAATCTTAGAAAATACGTTTCTACGTAATAGTGTAATCTCTTTTCAATACGTGGTACCCAATATGTATATGTTAATAACCTAAAACTATGACGCTTCCAGCACAAGAGATATATGCGATAATATTACTTTAATATGATAGTTACTTTTATATCATTATAAGTGAACCATTATACGTTCTTATGAGAAATAAAATTCTTTAAATCGATATAATAAAAGTACCGTTTATAAGAGCTTACTCCTTTATATAAGGCCGGCAACGCACCTGCAATTAAATGGTTAAACGAACTTACTTTAAGTGAAGTTCAACCATAATTATACGAAGCTCCTTGTCCTAGACATTCTTAACAATTGTAGTACGCCGCATTCCATGCCAGCATCACAATTTATCCAAGCTCGCTAAAAAATTTTTTAAGGAGCAGTATACATGGCAACACTGTATCAACCCGTCCGTCAATGCAATTTCATTATGTTTAAAGCAAGGAATTAGATGAGCAACCCTAACCCAGGGAGGGTTGGTCCGGGAGTACCGTCTAGGACAAGGAGCTTCGTATAATTATGGTTGAACTTCACTTAAGGTAAGTTGGTTTAACCATTTAATTGTACTCTCTCCTTGTCCTAGACATTCTTAACAATTGTAGATGTTTGAAGACAGGGTTGCGAATTTATAATAACAATAAATGGAAATTTGCAATATTCCTTTTATAAAAAATGTTGTAGATATTGTCTGTATATCATAAATTTAAATTGTACATAAAGTAAATTATCTTTATTTTATAACATTTCCTTATACACATAAGGCCAGCTTGATTGCAGCAGAAGTGGCTCTGTAAAAGAATTATGACTGAAAAAGAAAATAATCTGCAATATCTATTCCAGTTTAGTTTATAATAAATTTTAATTTAACATCTTATAACTTACTAACTTACTTAAGAAATACTATTCGAAGTGGGTTAAATTTACCACTATCTTGTGTTCTGTTTTCTATTAAAATATTCACAAGAAAGCCTCAACCCCTTCTCATTTATTTTTTCCCATACAAATCCTGTTGAAGTGAAATTCTATCTATATCTTAACTATACATCTGAGCTCCCCTTTGAATAAATGTAATATTTGTTGAAGGACAATGTACGTATATTATAACCTGTAACTCATCACAGCTCAGCTTGTTACTAGTTTTTGTAAATTTCTGTATTCTCAATATTTATTGCAATATTCTGTTGTTAATTAATCTAAAAGTAACTTATTATTAAGTCTATTTTTATAACTCAAACCTAAGTAAAAGGCACAAAAGCCCAGCAAGGAATTTCATTACACTTACTACAATTTGGTACGATAGAGAATTAATAATTTTATTATTTTATAATTGTATAGTATTTGACATAGGAGAGTTCACTATAATTCTTAGGATGAATTTTGGAGTAAATCTTGGAGTGCCATATTTTACAAAATGCTTCACTAATAGTTACCTATGACGTGTATGAGATGTCTATGAGATGACTGTAACATGACACAGTAGTATGATTATCATTATATAGGCAGTGTTATTAATAATTTGTAATTTTATTCAAAATAAATAATTAAATTTTTACTGCCCATGTGAAAAAAACAAAAACCTATGGTTTTTTGACTCAATTGTTTTTTTTGACATCATAGACATTAGAGGAAATATATAAAAGAGAATCGTTCCCTCATCTAATATAACTGCCATGGTGTCTGGGTCATGTCTACAGAACCCCATTGTTAAGTATATAATAATTTTATTATTTCTCGTTACTAATTTGATCAATTTTTAGCTTTTGACACTGCTTTATGATTTTGTTGAATAGACTTGTAAGACTTCCTCCGATTGTTCTTTGTTTGCTTGGCTTAATTTTAGATTGTTTGTTTGATTTCCATATTTTTATTTAATTTAAAGTATTGAATCCTCAATAATTAATGAATATAACCCTCTCTATCTTGTTAATATACGAAGCTGGGGTTTTATCAACTCTGAGTAAAATTGTACACCATTGTATTATTTAGTGTAGTAAGTTTATTATTCATAATAACTATATTGTTTTGCTTAAAGTTTTGTATTATATTATACCATTTCCAAAATTATAACTATCTACTACCTTCATATTCAATAATATCTATGTAATTTCCTCTCAATGAAGGACTAAGACCCAAAGTTTTTCTCATTCTATTGGCTTCTCTCCATGGGTTATGCACAAATATATAAATAGTCACTATTCATATCATAAAATTTTTATAAAGTTCTTAAGTATTTTTACATAATTTCCTCTTACTACAACAATTTTATTTTTGTGGCTAACATATTTTGGTAATCAGTGTACGCATCTGTCAGCATAACTAGTGCGCGTTTACCATACCTAGTTTTAGTATATGAAGGTAATAATAATAACATGGTAGGTATGATACCATACTTAATTTTAATGAATTAATCGATCTTTATTTCTTATTTTTTAAATTATTACTTACCACATTTACTAAGTCGCTTTTTTTTAAATGCCTATCAGCAGTCATGAAACATTTTACAGGCTATCTGTTGTCTTTTTATTACTATTTTATATATTTATTTACTATTAATTTATTGTAATTCAATCTGATGGTTACAATACTATTTTTGTTTTGCATATCTGTCAAATCTGGTTTCATTAGCACCTTGTGGAACCAAATATATCACAAGGGATATAATTTGAATAATAGGTTTGATTCAATCTTTCAGATTTTCCTAAACAGCTTAAATGCTTATTTTTTACTTACTTATGTTTT